CTTCGTAAGGGAAATGCTCTCCTAACTATCCAGCATCCCTATCCACGGATTGAATCTTGCAGCCATGGTCAGCCTACTGACAGTTCATGTGTTGCCGAGTATGGAACAATGAAATGGAAATGTCGAGAAGACTGCGTCTATGTGCAGCCATGCAGCTTATCCTGGTGGCTTCGATGACCTCTAAAGATTGCAGCCAAAGTTCGACGTGCCGACCAGTATTATCACTGTAATGAATCGACCAAATAGGTACTATCCACTTATACCTTGCTGTTGTCTCTCCAAAGGCAACTGAAGCAAGATAGCTAATCCAGTGAGACGATACATGTCGAGATCCAGTGTCAAATACATGTATTAGTATCAATCCCAACATTGTTGGGGCGTCTCCTAACACAAAATATTCAGCAGGGAAGAGGACCACCAGATCTCACAGTGGTCCATATGGAAAGATCTCTGCGCAGGGCTGCTATATGTCTCCAACTGCCAGAATCCAGTGGGGTCAAATGCATTTGATAGGTCTCTGAGGCTTCTGCTGCATCATTAGCCCAATCCTAACATTATTCGAAGACAATGTTTCATGGTACTGTTGTTGAATGTGAGAAATTAATTTCCGAGCAGTGATGGATACATATTGCCAGCATTGCTCAGATTCTTGCTAGCTATCGACTGTAAGAAACCTTGAGATTACAGTGTCTTCATCTCTCCTTGAGCAAGTTGGACTACATATGTCGGAAAAGTTATGTTTGACTTTAACTACGTATACCAGCAGATAATTTTGAGTGACCTGAATTAAGTGGGCATTGATTTCTTAGTCAGTCTTTCCCTCCCCTACTGATCTACCATTGACCTAAAAGTTATCTTTTATCTTACCTATACAGATGCATGTGTGTGTGTGTGTTCATGGGAGTTTATATTTCTGTTGTCTTGTATAGCAGTTGAGATCAGTGTAACTAATTGAAAATTAATGTGATCTTATCTTGGAAAGATTTTATTTCATTCAAATTTATTCTAGAACTTCCAATAAATATGACCATTAAATCAAATGTAAATAAAAATAAAAATGTAAAAAAAAAATCAAATCTTATTTCAGAACTAATTTCTCAAAGTTTTAGATCATGCTAAGTGTTTTTTTTTTTTTGCTTCAAATTGATTAAATTACACTGGTTTTCATTAAGAATTTTTATTAAATATAAATAGTTATTTGTTCAAATTTATACTAAAATTTTATATAAATATATTAAACCAGCTTTATGGGCTTCAAATCCATAAATTAAGTTAGTGGCTAAATGATAAACAACCCTCAGTTTCACACCATTTCAAACTTCAATGGACTCAAATCTCATTTTAGTTTTATATAAGCTGAAACTATTGTATATATATTATATGTATAAATGTATCAATCATTTCACTTACTCTTTCCTTTACCTATTTCAGAACTTCTGAAATGATTGTCATTTGGTGCATCACTCAATTTTGAATTTTTGTTCATTGCTTTGTTTTTCCTTTTTAATTTATCTCAGTAGTTCATTTTTGAGAAACACCCCATAGTTCTTAAGATATTGTCAGCTGCTATTACTTGTACTCTCCACAACAATCATATATATATATATATATATATATATATATATATATATATATATATATATATATATATATATATATATATATATCTCTCTCTCTCTCTCTCTAAAAATGTGACCAACTGCCAGTGTCAGTTGGAAGCTTTTTACAGTTTGTAGAGTACAAATTTGGTTGAGAACCCAATGCCGAATCCTATTCTTTTTCTCTGCTTCATGAAAACTAAATATTAATGGTGCCATCACCGTTGTACTGCGAGCGAGCGAGCGAGCAAGCAGGCAGGCATGCATGCATGCGCAGCCGTGAGGCACGACCACATGTGGGTGGCGACGAGGAGGGAGCAGACCACACCATGCAACCAGAGGCCGCCCCCATCTGCAATCACGTTCATGTGTTTTGGTGCACCATTTATGATCTCCCTGATCTGATCTGATCTGATCTGATCTGTCATCACCACCTCCTCTCCTGCCAGAGCTTGCTTTGATCTGTTCTCCATTTCTAGCAAACCAAGCGACTGCCATTCTCATCTGTCAATACACATGGCCGTGTCTGTAGGGTGTATCGCTCCAGATGTACAATATATGATCTCTTCTCCCCCCAAAAGTAAGGCGAAACAGTACCTAGGAAAATGAAGGGTCATAACCAATTGCATCCGCCTCCATGTGAGTGAGTCCATAGATGACTTCATGCTTCCCCATCAGAAGGTACAGTCTCTGTAGGCGCGATATGCGCAAAGACTCGATTGTGTTCTCTCTTTGCAGTGATAGTTACAGCAAAAGTATCAGAGTTCTCTCTTCTTTGGAAGAAGAAAATTTGCATGCGAGAACAGCTTCGTGACATGGGACCGATGTCCACCACCTCATGGAGCATCATCATCCATGGCTGCAGCGCCCGGAGTTGTTCTGTGGGGAAGGGAACCCCATGTGGGTGCCTACAGGTGGAATTTATTGCATGGTAAGGCGCTTCAAATGGGATTGTTCCCCTCCCCTGACACTTACTTAATTTTCCGTAGGACCACGAGGGGTTTGTCTCCATCCTTTCGCCGCTAAACCTCGCAGGAACGATGGCTTAAGACAGATCTAAATTGGTACTGTTCTTCATGCCTTGAAACGCGCATCACATGATCGCCTTAATGGCCGACGGCACATGAATCCTCAGCTCGCCATACCCAATCACGTGGATGTACTCCAGGTGTCCGTATCCATCTCCGACCAGCCTTTCCACAGATCGCATCTTCTTTTCGTTTCAGTTTATCTACTAATTAATCTGATCGAAAAAATATAGATAAATAGAGAATAAGTATAAGTATGTGAATGATTAGTCGTCTTAATCCAACTAAGGATTTATTCTCGTTCCTACCTACGATAACTTCCCATGTCAGACTTGACTTGGTCAATAAATGCTACGTCCTTAAGGCTTGTGACCAACTGCCAAACTCTTTGTTTTGTTGTTCCGTCGAATAGCTACATTATATAGTGTCCAAGTAAATGTATGCACTCACCAAATGACACGATATAGTTCAACGGACGAGACAAGACTCTCATGACAGGGAATCTCTTGAGGTTTGTGTGTAAGAAGTTGTTGATTATTGTGAGGCTTGGAAGTATACACAGTGCACACTTGCTTAATGTATGTTCACCGTAACCTAGTTTGTCTTCCACAAGCCTCTTCTGCTATATATCACCCTTGAGTGTCTGTCTCCTGTAAAGTTCTCCCACTCTCCCTTCTTGTCTCTCCCACCCAAACTTCCTCTTGTCTTTTCCAACTTCCCCTTTTGCTAAAGCAAGAGAGAGAGAGAGAGAGAGAGAGAGAGTGTGTGTGTGTCCCAAGATGTCAAGCAGAAGGTCCAGGATCTCAGAGGAGGAGATCACAGAGCTCATCTCCAAGCTCCAGTCTCTTCTTCCCGAGACCCGCCGCAGAGGCGCAAGCAGAGTAAGCCCACGAACGCTGTATCACCAAACTTTCAACTTGTTTCTTATCATGTAAGCTGAGAGAGCTCCACGCATGCATGCATGAGGTGCAGGCTTCAGCAGCAAAGGTACTGAAGGAGACGTGCAACTACATCAAGAGCCTCCACCGGGAGGTGGACGACCTTAGCGACCGCCTCTCGGAGCTGATGGCGACCATGGACGTCGACAGCGCCCAGGCCGAGATCGTGCGGAGCCTCTTCCGTTCCTGAGCTACTTAAAGAGTGATCAGAAAAGAGACATCTCTGCTGCTTCCTTGTTGTTCATGTAAATTTTCTTTGAGGTCAGGCTCGAGTTGCTTTTGTCTATGAACAACCGACCGACCACTACTTGCAAAAGCATTCATGTACTCCATGCATGCAGTTTTTACTGGGTCACTATATATAATCTGCTCGCTGCATCTACTTTACCTTCATGCCTGTTCTCATGCCCAGTTTCATCCCTTGGCAAGTGAAACACTTGTTTTATTCAACACTTAACTAACAAGATGGTCTTCATCGACTCCCATGCTATGGTCAGAATAATATGCCCGTTCCTATTCTTCTGACACCCCACGAGATCCATCAAGAAGATAAGCATCCATATATATATCTTCAAGATCCATTTCTCATGGGTCTTTGTTCTCAGGATAAGTGCATCATCGAAACAAGAAGAGTAAGAGCAAGTTAGTGACCGAAAGAAGTTAAAATTAGACGCTGTACTGTGGATTTGGCTTATGATGGCGTTGTAATGGGAATGGTGCGTTACTTTGTCATATATGAGGTGGTACGTGGAAAAAACTTACGAACCGGCGAATGGTCCACTGACATGAAGTGATTTATCTACCCGATCTACGAGGAGAAAGGTCCAGACGCCATCGATGTTTACGTCATGCACCAGAAAGTTCGCGAACTTGCAAAAATTATTGAAACGTAATAACTCAGAATTACATGAGCGAGGTTTCTAAGAACGAAGGAAGATAAACTCAATAATTATTGAAAAGTAACCCAGAAAATACCATGATTTATTTCAAGGATAAGAGATGACATCTTTAATTTTTATCCCTTAATCTTATCGGAGACACCGGATGACATCTTCAGTAACTGAGAAGAAATGATTTAATCTGATTTCCATGGTGAAGAAAAACTTGGTAAGACGATTTTTCTGTTCAGAAAATAATTTGTTAGTTTGGCAATGTAAAGCCCTAAATTTTGATAAATAAGTCTCATCTGGAGAAGCTCTGGCCCTCAAAATCCTGGAAAATTGGGAGTTTCAAGGACCTCAAATGTCATGGAACGACAACAGAACTATATGTTCTTGTTAGATATACATGCTATTTTGTGGTGGGAAATGTTTCTGTCAAGAGCCTAAAATATTGAGATGTGGTGGAAAATGTTGCAGTAGATTTCTTTTTGCGAAAAGAAAATTTAGCTGTAATCGAAATATGGAAGTGAATTGAAGTCAAAAACACACACGATGCATAAAACTAAAATTTAATGCTATAAACGGGAATAACTATAATGAACACATTCTTTTATTGAGACATGATGCTCATAGGAGAATGTTAAGATAAGAAGTCAGTGCCAAGAAGGTAACTGAGGGACTCAGCAAAAAACTGTCGGAACTCTGAGAAGCACCATAGGAACGAAGGTTTTCCGTCTCAGCAGAAATCTAGAAAGACAAGCTAAAGCTGTTACTTTCTTGCTACTGGTTTACCATTTTTCAAGCTTGAAGCAGAATTGCTTTGAAGAAAATTGTTCTGTCTTGTAGAACGAGGGAGGCTGCAAAACAAGAAGAGTACATGATCAGCAATAAGAAAAGCAATGAATGTATGATTTTAAGTAGTTCAATGACTTAAAAGGCGAATTGCAACCAATCTAGTAAGCTAGGATGTATGGAAGCTTTGACAGATTTAGAAAAATGTCATCCACCTTGTCTGAGACAAGCTGTTCTGCTGTGAAGCATTTCTTCTCATCAGAGCATGTACTTTTGCTTCATGGCTGTTGACCCGAGATAAAGTTGCTTTGTTAGAACTCATACAACATCAAATCTGGATTTAGAAAACAATTTTGTATCTCACCTATTAAGATACTCCAATTTTGCCTTCTTCATCAAGTTACCTTTCACATTGGACATACCACTTGGTCCACTTCCTGTGAACAGTCATCACACATGTTAACTTGACAATGGATCACATAATTTAGCTACACGTTTCAGCAATAGGCATTTAGTGCAGTTTGTTTAGACATTCACAAGGCTCAAGATAGCACATCATATGTAGGAATAAAATAATTACCTCCCCAGTAGCTTCTTTTGCCGGCCGAGGGTGGAATCTTAGAACAGATTTGGATTTGTCGACTTTGCTTCTCTACATGGAACAAAAACAATTACTCAGCATGTAACAACATTTCGATAACAATGTAAAAATATTATGTTTTAGCAATATAACTTCAAGATTACTTGGTACGATAGTTTACTACCCTAGATCCATGTGCACATTCTATAAAATACATGTAAAAGATAATCTTATTTGTTATTTATTGTATATTAAATTCTGCAGAAAAGTATTCCTCTAGAAGTTCAGAGCACCAGAAGATCAAGTTCCATATACTCTCCATAAGAAAGGAAGTACTGAAAGACAACCAAGAGGCTAGCTACAATTTGTAGGTTAGCATTTTAGGCAACAATGAAAAATTGTTGCAAAATCTTAGTATACCTGACATTAAATACTGAATGGTTTCAATAGAGATGAAAAGGCAACGACTGGCTATGCATTGTAAACATGAGACATTGTTGTAAAGGATAAGAGAAAATTCGTTTAAGGTGGTCTAGCCAGTTCAAAGAGAAAGTACAGGTTTATGTAAGAGTGATCTGATTCAAATAACATAACATTATGAGCAGGACCAAGAGGATTTTGGTCGATACCAGCATAAACTTGTATGTTGAACTTCAAATATAAGATGTCACTTATCATACATACTTGGGAGTAGTTTCCAACCACGAGAGAAAACTGCACCCATACTCACTGAAGTTGAGAGGAACAAAATGGCATGTCACGACTGCTTTCATGTCAGCCCAGGCACGAATTGTATTGCCATAGATCCATTGCTGCTTGGACCTCCAGATTCATCCATTCATTTTAGTTTGCCATGAACAAAAACAAAATTGATCCTCAGAAATCTCGTATCACCTAAAGAATCTTTATAGTAAATGACCCAATCCAAAGAACTTTCTGCATTTCAACAATTATATCGGAACTGCTAGTTTGGTGCCTTGGTCTACCTGTTGTTGACAAACAGGAATGCATGTAAAGCTTGGAAAGGAATTTGAAGAGAAAGTTGCGTAAGGGGTGTTTTAACACTGATGAAGCTAGGACTGATGATGAAGAAACTATTTCTGCAAAATTTTCACCTCTAGAACTTCTATTCTGCATATAGATGAGCATGGTGTTTGTTGCTTTGTGAAGGCTTGGACTGCTTCGGATAGTTTGAAGATCTCTGTCTTCATTGATTGTCACATTTCCTTGTATGTTCTTGATCTCTCAGACAGTCTAAAATTCATGATAAATATCATCTATACAAAAGCAAAGTTCTACTTGTTGCCATGCTGCAGTATACCAATTTTGTAATGAGCAGAGGAACAGAAAGAGAGTGGAGAGACAGAAGAAAAGGAGAAAACCCAGGCAACAGTCCCAAGCTCAACTCAAATTCTACAAAAATCATCTTGTAACATGGCATACAAGACTGGCAACAGAAATCTTTCTATAGACTTAAACACTTCATAATCTAAGATTTATAAGAAAACTTTTATGGGGAGTCACATTGTTACTTAAGATCCTGTCAAAAGATGCTTTCAATGCAGGGCTCCTAGTGACTTGAAGACCCTTTCAACCTTAGCTCTATTGGAAGCAAGAAGCAAATGAGACAATACGACTCCAACAATGGGTCTGAATATGATATGATCTAAAAACTGAAAGTAGAAAAAGGACAAAAACTCATTTGGAAAATAACACAAAAATAGAAAACTCTCAAGATAGACCTAAAGAAGATCAATCTAACCTAATCATGACTGAATCAGACTCACCTAACACCGCCATAGCCAATATCTATGCAGCATAGGCTATACATGTCTTCATTGTTCATAAATTTTAGTTAGATATGTATGCTATACATGTCTTTGTTGTTCATATAATTTAGTTATATATGTATACTAATACTCTTCCTCTTCTGTGGGATGGCAAAATGCACTGAATATCAACAAGTGGAATTTCATGTAAATACAGAAATTTTGTAGAGCCTACAGGACGTTTTTATGATTGAAAGAAAACTTTATTAACCTAGTAGGAAAAGCTTCTTAGAAAAACTGTTCAAAATGGATGATATGCACTCCTAAATATGATATTGCCACATACACCTAGAAAGGCCTTTCCGAAACTTCATCTTGAAACTGTATTGTGTGTGTATGTGCAGACCACATGATGGTTCAACTTCATGTTGCCACAATATTCTCTACGTTGGTCCCAAACAATGTGCGTGAAAGAACTGTTTAATTCCTGAAGGTGCTGATCCATTCAGTATTTAGGAGAAAGATCTTTAGGAATGGATGGTCCAAAACTCCTCAAGTCCTGTTGTATTATATTTCTCATTCCTGAGAATCTTCATAAATTTGACAGTAAACAGAAACAAAATCTTTTCCACAGGGAAAAGTTCAGCTAAAAAGAAACTTACAAACAAGATGCTTATAAAGCATAATCACGAAATGGACAACAAAGAAAGTGCTTGGGTACATATAAGCACATATTTGCAAACAGGCATCTGATCTATGTGAATCAATTTACCCAATGGTGCTAGTATGAAAAATCACCTATCATAAAAGCAGTATCTTGTAACCATGATGCTGCTCCCTGTTAGCTATATATATGTGTGTGTAAAAGAAAAATTAAAATAAGACTGGTAGACAACTCACTAGCTTGTGTTTCTGCATATCTCTGTTTAAGTTTCTCGCCCATTTTATTTTGAGCTTCTTCCCTCTCCTTTGTCTTTGCCTACAAGCGTCATGCAAAATTCATCATGACAAATTACTATCATAATATAGATCTTTTATCCAATAAGCACATGGTACTTAGTATTTTTCTATCATCATGTGAAGATTCTACACCAAGAACGTGTTTGGTATGGTTCTTGGCCAGTCTTTCCAATTCTTCACCACAGTAAAAGCATAAAATTCTAAGAAATAGGTACAGCACCTCAAAAAGCTGTCTCCATTTAAATACTATTTTCTTCTGCTTCATCCGCTTGATCACAGTATTTGCACTTTCCACTCCAAATTGCTGCTCATAGAATCTTTTCCATAATGCATCTGTCACTGGACTGAGATCTCTTCCCTACAATGTCATAGTAAAACAACCACGAGAATGGTGACCCATAAACATAGAAATTAATATGGAAATCAGAAGCAAGAAAAAATCGCAAAAGAAAACCACACCAATGCATGACTCACTTGTGTTGAGTCCTCGATGTGGGTCAACTGATCGATGTTACAGTGCGGTAAGATATCTTTCAATAGGTACAAGTCCACCTCTCCAACATCTCCAATATACCTAAGGTTAGAGATTGCCGTCTGCAAACAAAGCTCGACCAAGGTGGGAACTTTCCTGGGGAATTCCATCTACCACAACAAATTCCGATCTACCGAACCGTTTGGATCCTGCAAACCGGATATTTGCGAGCAGCTATACCCTGAAAAACATCTATCTCTGCATTATAAACACAAATTCGGGTTGGATTCTTAATTAACGATAATACACGACACAAACAAATAAAACCGCCACTCTGCACATAATCAAAAGAAGAAAAAGCCATAGAACCCAGGTCAAATTGAGGTAAATTTTATAGAACAGTAATATCACGAAGAGAAACAAATGAATGATCGGATCAATCAGCTATCGGAACAAAGTTGCAAAAAGGTATTGAATGGAGGAAATTGGAATCTAATTTTGGTTCCACAGGATTCAAATAAAAGCGCAAAATTCGAAACGAGAAGTAGATCGTTGAAGAAATCGTACCTCGCGATCTCCGTGAGGAGAAGATAAGAGAAGAGAAGAGATCTCTGCACCCTAATTTCTAATAGTATTCTATTTCTCATGCGGATCACCGACAGAAAGGGGCTACAAAATACGACCACCCGCTTCGGAGGAAGAGGAAAGGAGAAGGCGGATGTGCTGCCGTCGTCCGCCAGCGAGTCATCCTCGCGTATTCATAGGACCGGGAAACAGAAAAAGAAAAGACAAGAAAACTATCAATTACCAGAGCGAACGAGAAATCTCCTCTCGCATCACAGACATCGAAACCAACACATCGAATGCCACTCCCGATCCAGATATATACAAAATTAGGGCAACGAATTGGCCACCTAATTACTTTCCTTTAAACACATAGAAAAGAAAAAGCTTGTACTCCAAAAACCAATTCAATAAAAATTTAATATTTTTAAAAATATTTAAGTAATGTTTCAAAAATGTTAATTACAGGCCAAGGAGGTTTGGATTCCTCCGCCCATCCAAAATAGGAATCGATGCAGCTTATTCGAGACAGCCCAAAACTATGCTCTAGATTGGACGAAGGTGCGACTTGGCCCGACGCCGGGGTTGAATGCGCCGTCCCGTCTCATCAAATTCACCCCCAAGATGGGAATGAACGCAAGGTGAAATATTCCCGTTGTCAACAACATTATTAGTATGTAGATATCTTTGTCCAATGCGGAGTAAATGTTCCCGTTCTCAAGCAAAAAACAAAACGAGTCATGCCTTCAAGAACGGATTTTGTGCCCATAAAATGCAAGCATCATAGAGCATGTAAATTTTCATCGCATCTCTCATCTAAGTTACACGAGTGACAAGTAAAATTATGACACACTAGTGAATTAATATCTAAAATGCATATGACTGATACCAATTTAGCATAATAAATACTACCTTTTTAAAATGACAATCTTGGAGAACCCTGCTTCTCTATTGATCATAGTAGAAGAGCTGTGCATTCATAATTAAAGAACTGGGACAAAGTTCCTGCAATAAATCTTGTCAGCTTAGATATATAAATACACTGCTAACTGAAGATAGGACACAGTCTAACAATAACAAGGAGGACGAAATAAGTAGAATTAATTACTTTCAGCCAAAAATTGATGGGTGCCTAACCACCAGCTGGGGCTGCAAGTATTGAATCTTTAGCCAAATCAGAAGCATTGTTCAAGATAAATAGATCGTAGGTTACAATGTCTATTAATTGACCATCAAACACACAAATCGGCTTCTTTACAAGCTGAACCTTAATGTTGAATGGGCACAAGACATTGATTCTTTGGCTAACCCATATCCCACCAAAGACAGCTTTATGCAATCATCATGGCTAATTTATGATAATTTGTTGGGAATTTCTATTGAATGACTTGCGAATGGTATCTGATGTTTGCATGGGATCAAATCTTTCACTATGCTAACAATGGTGGAACAAATCTATGATTCTGCAGTGTCTGCTCAAAGATGTGGCCAACTCTCAGCAGCTTCTCCTGCACAAGAGACAGATGGTTAAATGATAATGACATGACAATCTCAAATATATATCTACAGTTCATGGTTCTTGATCGAACATAGCTTTCCAACAGTTGCCAGTGGAATCCTATACATTTTGCAGCCAACTTGCTTTAAGTTGAATGGAAAGAAACAAGACAACTCCGCAGAATTGCATCCCAAGTGTCACAAAAGCAAAAAACAACAGGTGTTTCCATGCCCAATTAGAACTTCCATAGAAATTACATTTTCTTACTTCTGCTAAAGAACAAATTTATTCAGAGTGGATGAATAAATAAAAACACTACTGAAACAAGTAATGTATCAAGGCATTTGGTTAAAAGAATCAGATGGTGTTAGGATATGGAGGAAAACAAACAGTATTAACTATTGACATTGACACAAATAGACCACTGGTATTTACAAGCAATGGGATTGCTAGATCATAACTCTTACATACCTCACTGAAGCTAGTGCCAATCATCTGAAGACCAACTGGAAGGCCTACAATTCCACCTTCAACAAAACCACATGGCACAACCAGTGCAGGAACCCCAGCCAAGTTAACATTCACCTGCATGGAATAATTGATGCTGCTTATGAAGAAAGAGAATAATGTAACAATCTGGCATTTAAATATGATATGCTACTACTGATTACATTGAATAATGCCACTACCAACTGAAGAACATTCAAGAAAACAAAGCGTGTTCATCATGTAATGCTATAGAAACTTTGGATCAAAATACTACGAAGGTAAAGATGTAAAATGCTTTTTTGACAAATATATAAAGCATAGCGTGAGGCTTTATCAAGGACCATACTCATCAACTGAGATCATGAGACAACCTTCCAAACAAACCAGATACTGGCCCTCTGATACTTACATAGTGTCATGAGAATATGCATCTATTCTTGTCCTGATTGCAGTTAGTAATAGGTGTGCAAGTCAACCTACCACGCTAACCGTGTGGTCTCTTAGATCTTCAGCCAAAAAAATTTTTCATTGCTTGCTAAATGGAGGCTGAAAGCAACTGAAATGCAATGATAACGGTAAGGAAAAATTAAGAGAGGAAATTACGAGGGATTGTTGGTGAGATAAAATATGGAAACTGGAAATATACAGGAAATTACAAGGAAAACTAAGGCAAAGAAATTTTAAGTTAAAAGCTAATGATAATGAGAGGCTTCACAAGAAATATTTCAAGTTGTCAACAATTAGTGGGAGTTTCAATTGAGGATATAATGAGATACAATTGTTTAAATTGGTATTGTCATATCAGAAGGGGACCTATAGATCTACCAATTGAATGAGGTGAATCATTAGAATTAGTGAAGCTAAGAGAGGTTAAAAACACAAAATCAGAAATAACAAAAATAATTATTTGGATATTCCTATTTCTTTATTTTTTTCAAATTTCTTTATTTTTAACCTTTTTATGGCTGATCGTGGTTCAATCTGGCCATTTTACTAATCTAGCTCAAACCTATCTTGCTGATTTAAAGATTTTGCTGATCCCAGTTCAGACCTAGGCTGATCTCAATCTTGATAACAATCCTGCCAATCTTACCTCAACTACAACGTTCAACTATATAGTCTTGCAATTAAATCTCCAATAGTTGAGTGCTTTTTTTCTTATGTTGAAACGAACCACCATCTGCTGTACATGCTTGTGTGTGTGTGTGTGTATTCATTCTGTGAATTTATGTTTCCTGTACAAAATTGCAGGTGGTCTTGAATGTTGACGCACCACTGCAAGTCTTAGAACAACAAAACATATCAAATTAAGCTTGTCTAACTTGAGAATAAATTGGCAAAATGTGATTCAAGATTCATACAGTCATGATATCGCCTGCATACATAGCCAAAGGATCATTGACCTTTTCTCCTGCAAAGATAAAAATGACACATAAGCAAGCAAAAAAGAAGACTGTGGTACATAAAAAAGAGGCATCGAACTTGCCTATTCTAAAAGCAGGTGATGGTGCTGCAGGTGAGATAAGAATGTCGTTTGTCTCCAATGCATCCTTGAAGCTTTTCCGAACCAATGTCCTCACCTATAAGGCCTAAAAATCATGCATTTCTACTCTATGTGCCTTCTTTAAAATTTTGTCTTTATTTGTAATGATAGAAATTAGGAACCTAAAAATGGCAGCTGAAGTTTAAACTTACCTGCTGGGCACGCTTGTAGTATGCCTCATAGTAGCCAGCGGATAAGGCATATGTCCCCATCAAAATTCTCATCTTGACCTACATAAGTAAAACTTGACTTAATTTTCAAATGAAACCAATCATCATTTTCAATGTGTGATGAGCATCTTAACTTCAAACGACAAGCTTAAAATCCTGGCAAAACAGAATATAGGTTTTGGGGAACACAATATATACTGGGAAAGCTGTGAGAGCATTCTTCAACTCAGTCAAGCAGAATATAATCAAGCTCAGATAAGGATCCAGTCAATTTCAGTTCAACTAACTGAAAAGAGTGCTCAAGCTGAAATGACCTTGTGTTTAGTTGTTCTAGACAGCAACTGCTTGGTTGATTAATATATATGGCTCGAATTCAGCTTGTTTCCATATTAAACAATCCTTGAAGAAGCAAATTACCAAACTGAGGCCAAGCAGTTCAGCAGCATCTTCAGTTTGCTACTATAGCTGGTTTAGATTAGACATAAAAGAAGCACATAGTAATATACCTCAGGCCCAAACCCAATAGCTCGAGAATCTCCATATAGAGAAATTAATTCATCAGCTGCAACTTGGTTCCCATACCTGGTAAATAGTTTCTAGAGTTGTGGTCAAAATACTCAAGAGAACTTAGTGCAAAGACAATATATAAACCAGTGTAACTCTCAAAAAGTCACCTTACACCATCATAGCGTGATAAATTTGAAGAAGCTTCAGATGATGCTAAAATGTAGTAGGCTGGAAGACCAAGAGAAAATGAAGGTAATGATACCTGCAAGAACATAAAAAAGGAACTGTATATCAATACTGGAGGCAAACCAGTAGATAAGTGACTTAAAAAGTAAATAGTATGTTACTACTGGAAGCAAATATAAGAAGTACCCAATGCTCATTCTAGAAGGATAGATCTAGAAACTGAATGGAAAATGAATCACAAATTAGTAACCTCTGTCAGCACAGCCCCTAGCTCTTCCAAGTGTAAAGCAGCAGCTTTGATCGAGGATACCACCCCCATGTCTACGCCATCGCCCATAGTCTCCGTAATCATGCCAATCCTTAGTCCCTTTAGAGGTTTAGAATCAAATTGATCGATTGAGATCAGACAAGATGCGTAGTCAGGAACTTCCTGCGCAGCAGTGAAAAAGGTAATAAAATTCAAATTAAAAGTATATCATCAGATGTTATTACACTGAAAACAAGAAATATATTGATAAAATATTAAGCAACTGCATGCTTTTGAATACAAGTTTCGAGGAAAGTTACTGATAATAAACAACTTCAGTAGAAAGAATAAAGATAAAGAAAGTTTATAAATCTCACATTCATGCTACTCGTTGCATCAAATCTGTCATGACCAGCCACAGCATTTAGAATGATGGCAGCATCAATGATTGATGAACCAAAGCATCCAATGACGTCCAAAGATGAAGCATATGACATGAGCCCAAATCGAGAGATACGCCCATAAGTTGGTTTCAGCCCAACAACACCACAGAAAGATGCTGGCTGCCTCACACTACCTCCAGTATCACTTCCCAAAGACACTGCACACTGCCTAGCTGAAACTGCAGCAGCCGAACCCCCTGAAGATCCTCCAGGTACTCGTGAGACATCCCAAGGGTTTGCTGTGACCTACCAAAAACATGATGCCTGCAGATTAACATAAATATTAACATTTGGCAACATTATTGCATCACAGATAGGAGTAGTTTCCTTTGTGACCCTGCAGATGTTGAGAATAATGGATTTACCATTGACATGCTTAAGTGAATATTATGTCTTTCAGAAAAACCTTAAAAAGCATTTTTCAGGGGTATATACAAAAACATCGAAGACAAAAGAACTTTCATATGTACCCATGAAAAAGGATATCTATAATTGTTTTTTATAATCTTTTGCAATATACAACTCCTCCTAACATTTCAAGGGTCAGACCAGAATTACCCACTTTAAAGGGCACATGAAAATTTTTACTCTATTTAATGTAACAAATAACAAATTACAAACAATTTAGAAATTTTCAAATGAAATTTTGATTAGAAGACAAACCTAGTATGATGCATCCCCTACCCAACCAAATCAAATCAGGCTAAAGTTTTATCTAATCATACCAAAATATTTTGGTTGTATAATTTTTGAAGTCTAGGTTGGCAACTCTACCACTAATTTGTCCAACCAATACTACAATTATATATGAAATCAACTTGATCATCATCTTTGACCTTAAATAAAATCAAACAATAGACAATTAAAGACTCAAGTTCAACATCCACATGATTGACGTTGATATCAATAGGTGGGCCAGGCCAAATTTGGGAATGGATAAATCCTTACCAGAGGCTATTTGGCCAAAAAGTGCAGCCCTAGGGCTGAACCAGCCGTATTCAAGTCTTGTTTAGCCAATTTGAAATGTTTAGGGTTTGTCAATGTGGCAAGCTGACAGTCCATCCTCATGTCTATAGCATGAGAATCCAGCTCTTATCCATATGAACTAAGATATTGTTCCTGCTAAGCTTTCCACTACTAGTTTAACAAAAGCAGCAGCGATTCTCTTGCATGTATTTATCGGAAGCTTCCAGTAGACTTATTTTCCACATCACGGGAACCTCCGAGTTGAATCAATCATTTGTTGCACAAATATTTTCTAGTTCTAAAATTCAGATTAGAGCAAATCGGACCAGAAAAGTAGCAACATTTGCTATAAGTATCAAATTAAACATTTTTAAGCCGGGATTTTCTTGTGTCAGAGGCAGAAATGTCAATCGAGTAAGAAGAAATGCACCAACCTAAAAGAAAACTCGTTTTTTCCTTCTTAAGAAGAACAAAAACAATAATAATAAGCTTAGGAACAAACCTGAAAACCTGAGCCTTCAGTAGTGCTCCCCATCCCAAACTCATCCAAATTCGTCTTTCCAATTACAATCGCCCCCGCCTCCTTCAACTTCCTCACGGCCGTCGCATCAAATGCTGGTCGATATCCCTCCAGGATCCTTGACCCACCGGTCGACGGCATGTCCACAGTGCAAATGTTGTCCTTCACTCCAATAAGAACCCCAGCCAAAGGCCCCAACTCCGCCCCGCTTTCCACCAACCGGTCCAGGTCCTCCGCCTCCCGCATCACCGTCTCCGAGACGTGGAGGAAGCTCCGGATTTGGGGCTCCGTGCGGCGAAGCCTGTCGAGGTACTCCTCAGCGATTTCCGCGGCCGTCCTCCGCCGCGAGAGGAGAGATTCGCGCACGGAGAGGATCTCGGACGAAGGGGGAGGCGGCAGTGGCGCACAGGAGGAGCTCTGATTGCTGGCGATGGTTTGGGCGTCCGACGAGAGGGCGGCGGCGGCGGAGCGATGGGAGAGGCGCCCGCAAAAAACCGCGCGGGCATTCGGTGGGAGAGGAGAAAGGCAGTGGGAGAGGAGGAAGCGCGGGCTTTGAATGAGACACGGCATCGTCTTCTCTCCCTCTCTCCAAGGGAAGAGGATGGATAGGTCGAGGTCGGCTGATATGAAGATGGGCCAAGAATTAGATCGGTTAAGCGTCTGGGGGTTATTTTCCAAAAAATAAAAATAAAAATATTTATTTTTATTCTATCTCAATATTTTATGATAAATTATTAAATTCTTTATCAGTTAAATTAATATCCTAAAAAAATATATATCAGTTGACATTTTGAATCCTCGACTTTTGATGCATATTTCCTTTAGATAACATAACTTTATGTAAACAAAATAAATTATTTAATTGAATAGTTAATAAAAAAGTAAAATCCTTAAAAAATTGAAGCATAATTCATCTAAAAAGTATTTTGTTCTAATATTCAAGAGTGGAAATTACAAAAAGGAACGAACATATATTGTAAACAGTTCCTAACATATCACTAAAAACAAATTATTAAGGTGCATTTAGAATTATTCATTGTTCTTTGCAGCAAGGCCAAATTATTGTATAATGTGATATTGATAATAAAACATTTATCATTATCATGTGCAAGTATCAGTCTGATGAGAAAGTACCAAATCCACGTGTCAAATATCGATGATTGGAAACCTCATATAATTTTTGTATCAATCTATAAAAAGTTGAAGATATAAAATAATATTATTATTATATTGATGATGTATCGAATTTATTTACAAGACGTTAAGATTTTGATTCAAACCACGATGAATTTTATCGGATTCCCAAGTAATATGAATGAAAATAATAGAACTGAAATTAACTATTTATTTTTACTTATCTTCTTGACCTAAAGCTAAAACTAGTATGTACGTCGAATACTGTTCATATCCTATGACATCTTAATTAGTCCACATGCATAATATTAAAATTAATTTATAAGAATATGATGAATATATTATTTTAAATTTAATTTAAATATTTAGATATGTGATTTGGGTCAAACAAAATTGATTTACTAGCTAGCTCATCGGATCATAATTTTTGATATCATAGCTAACATAGTATTTAAGCATGAGAAGACTCAGAATAGAAAGACTACTCGTGAATGGAGTGGCTTGTTATGAAGTCATCATTGAGTTACGTCTCACATGTATCATGTTAAGATTTGATATATTCAAATCTAATCAATTTTTAATAATTTATCAGTTAAAACTAAATCAGAATCAAATATAGATAATTTGATTTTGATTCAATTTTATTGGATTAAAATTTTTATGTGATTATGAATTATTAAATTTAAATCAAAAGTTTTATGTTACTATTTTTGTGTGAGAATACATTCAGTTTTGAAACTTTATCAAATTTTTAAATAAAATTAAAATTTTTTACTACTATATATATACTGATCAAAATATTTTGTGATTAAAAAAGGTCGTTGAATATTTTTCTCATTGTATTAATGATGTGTTAAGGGGGTTGAATATTCTATGAAATATTTTACGAGGGTAAGAATACTCCATACAATATTCATTAGATTTTTATCTATACAGATACACAGATGGAAAGTGATGATTTATATATTAGCAAAATATTTAGTGGTTAAAAGAGGTTGAATATTCCGTTGAATATACTGTGTGTAATATTTGTTTGGAATCTAATCCACACGGTATATAGATATGGATGAAAGTAACCTACAATATTTCTTAAGTAAAAATATTATATATATATATATATTATATCATCAATAAATATTCTATGATAAAAAAGAGAGTGACAATTCACGTGGGACTCGCGCCAGTGAGGCGCAACGTAGCATCGTTGATCTCTCTCCACGAGGCGCAACTGCAAGTCAATCGTACTTCCTCCTCGGTGAAGGTTTCTCTTTCCACCCATCCTTTTGTATCCTCCACCTGACCACCTCCCAACACTAAATCACCATGAATCGAGGGGGTGATTCAGCTCGAGGTAGGGTTACAAGATCTTTCATTTATTTCTTTTTCTCTTCTTCTTTGAATGAGAAGAATAAACTAATTTGATACCTTTTTATTAGGATTCACAAGAAGACAGGTCTAACAAATTCTTGAGATCCATCGGGAATTGGGTTTAGGGTTTTGTCCTCACAACAATGTTGGTTTTTTCTTCTTTGATCCACCGATCGTGTTGGGCATTATGAGATATCAATGAACTGATTCATCATAAAGTCACCGTCATTTATTCTTGATGTCTTGCTCGATCTGGGAGTGCTGAAAACGTGCTCTTTGGCACCCGTGTCAGAGGGGAAGATGCAACCCTCGATCTCGGTGACGAGAAGGTTCCTCTTCTATGTTCTGTTTGCGTCGTTGTTCTTGTTGTTGTTTACGTGTTCCGATCTTTTGAGGCCCCGCAGTAGGCCCCTTGTACCTCAAACAGTGCTTATGTTCGTTCTTCCTAATAAGACTTCAGATGACAGCTTTAGAGCTAGAGATAGGACCAAGTTTCCCCATTCCGATCCATTTCCCTTTTCTTCCTCAATCGTCGTCAATGATAGACGAGGAAGATCTGAGAAAGACATTAGAGAAGCAAGCAGCAAAGGATGCGACTTGGATCGGTCTTTACTCAAGGTATACATGTATGATTTGCCTCCTGAGTTTCATTTTGGATCGTTGGGTTGGAAGGGAAAAACAGATCAGACATGGCCGGATATCGCCGAAATGGATCGAATTCCGACCTACCCTGGTGGATTAAATTTGCAGCATAGTGTAGAATACTGGCTCACCTTGGATCTTCTTGCTTCAAATGTTCCCATTGTGGCGAGGCCTTGCACAGTGGTCCGTGTGACAAATTCAAGCTCGGCGGATGTGTTCTTCGTGCCCTTCTTCTCATCTTTGAGTTACAACCGGCATTCGAAGCCACAAGGGAAAGGTAAAGCTAGCAAAAACAGGATTTTGCAGGATGAGTTGGTGAGGTACTTAATGGGCAGAGAGGAGTGGCATAGAGGTGGTGGGAAGGATCATGTTATTGTAGCTCACCATCCCAACAGCATGTTGCAGGCTCGAAGGAAGCTTGGTTCTGCTATGTTTCTGCTTGCAGATTTTGGGAGGTACCCATCGAAGATAGCCAATCTCAAGAAGGATATCATTGCTCCTTACAGGCATGTAGTTCGTTCAGTCGGCAATGACTCTGCCACCTTCGATGAGCGTCCGATATTAGCATATTTCCAGGGAGCCATCAATAGGAAGGATGTAAGTTAATTACAATTGCCTTATTCGGCTCTTTGGATTGTTTCTTTTAACATCTTGGTTTATATGTTGGTATCAATCGGTTTGAATCATCTATGGGTATAATTAACTTTTTAATAATTTTAGAAAACTTAATTTGCATTTTAGCTCAAATATGTGGCAAGGGTAACATATTAGCTCAAATTAAGGTACAATCGCAAGTCATCTTATGATAGAATGCATGTTAGGGTATTCCTTTGGTGCTTACATCATGCAGCTTATTTTCGTCGTGGATACTTGTTTTCAAACATTTCCTTAGCATTTCAGACTGCACATGCTGTTCTTTTAACATGTCAATTTCATTTGACTGCCTTGTCAATTTGATATACCTGACTGGACTAATATATATCAGGGCGGTAAAATTCGTCGAAAGCTCTATTACCTTCTCAAAGATGAGAAAGATGTGCACTTTTCGTATGGTAGCGTAAGGGAGAATGGAATAAGAAGTTCTGGTCAGGGAATGGCTTCATCGAAATTCTGCCTGAATATTGCTGGAGACACCCCCTCCTCAAATCGTCTCTTCGATGCCATTGTCAGCCATTGTGTTCCCATTGTGATCAGTGATGACATTGAACTCCCGTTCGAAGATATCCTAGACTATTCAGATTTTTGCATCTTTGTACGCCCCTCGGATGCTGTTAAGAAGGGTTTTCTTCTGGATCTTCTCAGGGGAATCAAAAGAACAGAATGGACTAAGATGTGGGAAAGGTTGAAGCAAATAGCTCATCACTTTGAGTATCAGTACCCATCAAAGCAGGGGGATTCTGTTCAGATGATCTGGGAAGAAGTTGCTCGCAAAATCCCATATGTTCGTCTGAGCCTTAACAAGGAGAAGAGATTACACAGATCACAGTTTGTGAAGCAAAGCAAATAGGATAATACTTTTGAGGACTCTTGTACATCAGGTTGAAACCTTAGAAAGCTATTTTCTGGGCACAAGGGAAATCAATATCATAGAATTGTGCTTCACTTGTTCAATAAAGAATGTACAAGCTTGTTAATAGTGCATATAATTTTCTGGTATGTCTATTATTTCTATCCTATGCATTATGTTTCTGTTGCTTTTCCTAACCATTGTGAACCATGCACTGAGAAATACTGACACAGGACATTGCCAATGTGCCTGTAATTTTATTCATAAATAAACTCAAACATCAGACTGAGGAGGATCAACTGATCTACAGATGAATGCCATTAAAAGCTAACTTCAGCTGTCCCTATGCATAAATGAGTAGGAATCTATGCTTGAGATCTAGTTTCTCAGATGATAAATCATGGAGCTGTTGATTGTTGTTAGAACAAAATCACACTGCTGAGTTTACAGTAAGTCTTAATTGTTTATGAATGTCTTTATATATATGTATGCATGCTTTTAAGATGTGTTATCCAAGAAATGCAAGACAGACCCAAAGGGATCTAAATTTGTGATGCCCAAGTTGTCTTACTGTAATCCTCCATTCTTTCCCTTTAACCGGCTATTTACAGATGCCTCCTCTCTAGCAAAACCATTGGATGATTGAACTGTCAAATGAGGAAAGAAACAAAGCATTACAAGCAGCAACGAAACCTCATGATCTCCTTGCAGTTCTTCGCGTGATGGATTTCTTTTCCCGGCTTTAGTTGCTTCATGGATGCAACATCCTCCCAGCTAGTTTTGGACGACGATAAGGAAGAGCGCTCACGAAGCTTCAGCACCGGTTGTGGATGGGATCTGATCCCCTTCGAACTCTTCGTTTGCTCATCTTGTTAGGATCCACAGGCGATGGCTCTGCTGCAGATTTCTTGCTCGCATCAAGGCTGACGACACCAGTATGGGTAAGGCTGCGTTCCTTCTTTACTGTCCTTGCATGTTCTTCTTCGTTCCACCTGATGCCGTAGACCTCCTCTGGCTTGCAGGAAAACAACCAAACGCACACGAGAAGTACAAGGAGGAGGAGCCTACGAGTGCAGATTCCCATCGGTCCTCCAGTTAGCCACAGAGATGTGAGAGGCCCTTCTGGTTCGGCCTTAAAAGGCCCCATCCCTGTAGATATAGTCCTCTCATTCATCGCCATATGGGTTTTGGTCCAAAAGCACAAAGCTCAGTAACCCAAAAAACACCTAGAGAATTCGGATTCACTCCAATCATATGGCTGCAACCCAAGCAAATCCAAGGCTGTTTTAGAAGGTTCTGTCATGTATGAATAAAGAGATTGGCACGCCATCCTTGGGAAGCGAAGTATCTTTCCGGTGGTTCCCTTCCCTCCCCTCCAAATCCCCCCTCACTAAGCAAGCACTAAAGGAGATGTTCAGGGAGTACGGCAGCAGCAAAAGAAACACCTGCTTTATCTCTCTTCTGTGATCATCATCCTGTGCTTTAGGATTTCCTCTTACAACAAGGAAGCACTCTTATCCATGCACCCAATGAAATAAAACAAGTACTTGGTTTCTCGTGCTGAATGCGCTTCTTTATGCTTTTCTGCGTTATTCCTGCTGCTATATACCCTACTTTTCCTATATCTCATCCATTACTTCTCCCATGACTCTTTAATTTTCCTCTTTTCCTTTTTCCATGGAGAACACATTCCTCTTTCACTGTTTTTTTCATATTTATATTGCTTCTCAGTATCACATGCAGCTCGTAGGATTCCTAAAGCACAGGTTCCCTCACTTCAACAAAAACTACGAGCAACTCAAGTATCGCACATCAGGTGTTTGTTGCTTTTTCTCTTTGAAATAAAGCAAAAGAGCAACAGTGGATGCTGCTGCTTTCCAAGGGCACAAGACTAGAACTCACATGGAGAACTATGCTCCCATTGCATGAAGAAAAACTCAACAATATTGTTTCATGCAACATAAAAAATTTATCTCCATATTCAAGTGCCTTTCATACATACATCATGCACAATGTCAATTTGATTTTTGATTCTAGAAGCATGCTTGTTCACTTTGAAATAAACTCTCTGATGTTCTTTTTATTTATTTATTTATTTTTCTTGCTAAAAAGTGTTCATCTATTATTACTTAATACATGGTACTTCGGAAACCTCACAAGTTTGTGATCATTGAACAGGGAGAAGAAGGAAAGAACACAGGAAATAGAGCTGCAGGGAAATCCAGGGAATTATCATGATTTGGTCTTCTCTCTGGAGACTAGTTTTCTAAAGTGGGCAATTTCTTAATGTCACCCAAGTGCTTTTATATACTTTTGAAGCAGGCTATCAGATATTTGGGACCCAACTGAGTAATTCTATATTAGAACTGGCAGAAAAGTAAGTGAATCCTAGCTAATGTGGACACTTGTTTTAAAGCACCCTAAAGAACAAGTGTGCAAATGCTGACTGTTCCATTAATTTACCTAACAGCTATTTTATGTAGTATTCAGTGGATCTAAAGATATCAGGTCTTGGGGGAATTTAGGTAGAATTTGCACATAGTCTTCAGCCAGTTTGCCTCAGATGTCCTTCAAATAGGATCAATTACTTCCATTTCATATTTGGTGAAGTTGTATGGTGTAAAAGTGATCAACCAAAATAACAGTCTGTTTCTCCTGAAGTGATATTTGAACTCAATAGGCTCTCTCCTTCTGTGATAATTTTTAGCATAGTTAAAGGCACTCATAATATTAATGTGCATCATCACAGGAACTGAGCCATCTGTCAGAACTCCAAGATATTTTAGAAATTATCTTAGCTATATGATTTCCCAAATTCTCATTACAATAAAAACATGTCTTCCTCTTATTTTGCCATCTGATTGGTTCAAATTAAAATTATAGTTGCCCTATGTTGAAAGACCATTGATGTTGAAGTTTAAAGGCTCCATGAACTGTATATTGTAGCCTCTCCTCTTCATATGCTTCTTGAAGAGCATGATAGAAGTGTGCATTTTCTTTGAGGTGAGGCTCTCATCACCAAAAGAACATCAAACCAAGATTCATGGATAATTTATGGTGGCATTTTTGGTGAACCCTTTTAAATTATGTCTAGTACACTCATCTACCATGATCTTAATCATTTAATTAGGTTCAAATAGCTACAAAATTGCTTCACGGATCTCCGAACAAGCTTATTATATTCTTGTATGTGATGTGAGTCCTGATTGTACCAATGTGATATTTCAGTTTTTAGGTGCAAAGTTATGATCATCTCAGCTTCATGGGGTTTCCACATTGTCAAAGAAGTCGAAGAATTGCCATGCCAAGAAGATTGGAAGGAATGCCATGCCTAAGCAGTGACCCCCTCCAAAAGATATCTTTTGGGGTATATCACATAGCAAATAATTTCTCACACTTCAGAGAGTTTATACTAGTAAACATTTTTTATGAATCTTGTCACAAAGTATCATTGCAAATGTAAGAGGATGAGATGTTCAATGGAGTTTGAGGTGTAGATTGAATTGTGTATGTATCAAGTCGATCGTATGAATATGTTATTGACGCAAGGAAATTCGTGTTTTTTCTTTTAACTTGTTTAGGTACTAAAAATACATGTCGATATGGTTTAAGTGTAATGCTCGTTGATGTTAGATTTTGGGATCAGTGGAAGCATCATCATCTTCTTCGGATCCTTCAATCACTATTTCATCTTAGATAATTTAAAGGCGTCTAGGATTGCTCTCGAGTAACAATAAGGTTACATATTTCATTGCTTTTGCGACTGCTAGGTGGATATTTATCTAAAAGCTTTTGTGATTGTCTATCTTTATAGTCATTCATCAATTGCAATGGCAATTATAAGCTGATCATGCCATGCTCGAATGCTTGGGCTAAACTTAGTGGTAAGATCCATTCTATCCTCATCCTATTAATTGATGACTAATCTAATTTTATTTTTTAGTAGAGATAATATAATGTGTGACATCAGATCACTTCCCTCGTACATTCCTCTTTTCTAGATGCCACTATCCTCCTAAGAGACGCTACCATATTACTCTTCGACTATCTTGTCTTCCCCAAATAAAGATATATCCACTAATCATATAAGTTTACGTCATCCTACTATGAAATCTAAGAAAATAACTCCATAATACTCATGATATAAACCTCGTATCACATTTGTAAAACGATATTTTTCAAAACCATCCATCAATTTTAAATATTTATATTCCACATTTTATATAATCCTTGAAAAAGATTTAATTTATAATATTATTGAAAATAAATTATAATATTTATGATAATATTCTTAAAACATATTAATTAAAAAAAATAAAATCACCTTATTCTATTGTTGTAGCAAAAACATGAAAATTAGAGTCTTTACAAAAATCAGATCCCTAAGATTGAAGAATCTACCAGATAGTTGATCAAATTTCATATGATCAAATTTCTGAAGGATATAACACGACTAAATGAAAGAAAAAGAATTTACCAGATAGTTGATAAGTAAAATAACTGATTAATAAAAATATTTTATATTTGGTAATTAATGAGATTGCAACCTCATAATCATTAACCAAAACATTAAAAGTCCATAAATGATAAATAAAACAAAAAATATAAAAAAGACCACACACCTGCCGCACCTGCGCCGCATGCGCGGGGATTCACCGTTCACTTCGGATGCCCAAATTCACGCTCCTTGTAACGAGGCACAAATCTTGCGCTTGCCAACGATTCCGTGCTGCGTCTCGCCCGTCTCAGACTCGGCGCGTGCTTCCCTCTTTGCAGGGCCACGTAAGCATTGGACAGAAATTGCTACGACGGATTTTGTAACAGATCCTCCACTGCGGAAATGCGGTCATCAGCTCAAAGCGTGACCGTCTGATGCGTGGGTCCCCTCTGTCGCGCTGGATCCAATTGGGTCCGTGTCCTTTTTCGTCTCAGCGACAAAAATAAAACCAAGAAACTACAAGAACTCCATCCGTCGCATCTGTCCTATCCGCCGCAGGAGGAGCACTCCGGCGATTATCGGCGGCGGAGGCAGGGTCAAACCCTAAGTTCCTATTCTTCATCTTCTTCTTCTTCTTCTTCCAGGAACTCTGCCGATCCGACCAGACTTCCTAGACCTCACCCTGCGTATTGATGCGACGATCGAATGCTCGACCGCCGGCAGTCGAGCCCGAGCCCTCGCACACGATGAGCGCCTCCAAGCCCCATCAACTCCGCCATTTATCCGTATCCTCCCGCCTCTCCTTCTTATCTCCCTCGAATTCCAAGCACCACCGCCGTGCCGACGGCTGTGGCCGCCGCTGCGCCGTCATCGCCCTTGCGGCCGTCTTCCTATGTCTCTTCATCGTCACAAGAGGCCCTGATTCTCGCAAATATGCGATAATTTTGGATGGCGGGAGCACCGGGACTCGGATCCACGTATTCGCCTACAGGATCGGATGGGGATCGATGCCGACGCTCGATCTTGGCCTGACGGCGTCCATGAAAGTCTCCCCAGGGCTGTCGTCGTACGCAGCGGACCCAGAGAACGCGGGGCAGTCTCTGGTGGAGCTGCTGGAGTTTGCGAAGGAGAGAGTTCCAGGGGAACTGTGGGAGGATACGGAGGTACGACTCATGGCAACGGCAGGGTTGAGGTTGCTCGATGTAGCAGTTGTGGAGAGGATACTGGAGTCTTGCAGAAAGGTCCTGTGGTCTTCGGGCTTCCAATTCCAGCATGATTGGGCAGCTGTGATCTCAGGCAGGTGAATCTAGAGAACTCTATTGCTGCTTTTTGAAATGCTCTTTTGGTGTTTTTAAGCATATCAGAAGTTGTGTAGAGCAGAAGATTTATGTGCAAGTCATTTCTTGTGGAATATTTGTTAATTTATTTTTTTTACCTTTCACGTTTGTTATCTATTGCTTGTCAGTTCAATTCTTTTGCATGCAAGTTTATAATGGTTAATTGAGTGTGCAAATCTTTACAAGCATTTTTGTAAGTGAGACTATGGCTTAAGAAATTCAAATCTTGTTATTGAGTTCTGGATCTTATAAACGTTTTGTTTACTTGGATGCAAATGCATAAGCTGCATATGCTCTCTAGTAAAGCAGTTCGAGGTATAAGCAGCTGAAGTTCACGTGAATTCAATTGAATTAAGTTGGATAATCTTATTGCATGAGACCCATCTCCATGTTTCAGCCTCCAGTAGCGGGAAGCAAAACTAACAGTCACTAGCTTTCTCTTTTTTGTTTTTTTTTCTTGTAAAGGAGTTACCTCTGTCTTCCCAAAATATCAGCTGCTTCTTCTGCTAGCTGCCTTCTTACTGTGCTAAATTAACTTCACTAAATGACTTTTAGACCCAAGTGAACTTATCATCTTCTTAGAAGTCTAAGTTTCTTGTAGAATTCTAGTAGTTTAAGTTTCAATGGCTTAAGATGCTAAGTTGCTAATTCTTCCATAGTTTCCAAAAGATTAAACGTAGAGGTCAAAGCATTTTAATATGACACATTTTCTTTCGTCTAACTTGTGAAAAGGAATAGTGGTCTATTTTAATGATCCAAATGTACCTCATAAGGTGCATCAAGCTGTTATTGATGATTCTCTCATTATTAAGAGAAAAAATTGGTCATGGTACTTGTCCTTTTAAGACTTAGGTTTTATTCCGTGTTGTCAACCTAGTACTTAACTAAGATGGATTATATTTTTTATTGAGCTGGCTTATATGGATTAGCTTGTTTAGATGCGTCAAAGAAGCCCATGGTCTGGATCATTATCACCCTGGTTGTATATATACTTTGTGTGTTTCGATTTGGGTTCCTGACAATCTTGCTCTGGCTAACATTATTGAGGTGCCGATAGGAAAGCTATATTTCCTTTTATATTTGTTTTAGTTATCAAAATGTTTCAATGTCACCTATTTTCTCTAACATAATCGGTCTTGTTTTGTATATTATGGTTATCCTTCTACTCAATGTCAAGTGAACCTGCATTTACTAGAAAATTACACCTCTAAATTATTATATCTTTAATATCCTCCTCTTGGAGGACTCCAGATGAGTTTTAGTTTTTGTAATGTTGTATAACTTGTAACAATCTTCTTACAGGTTCTGATGAAGGCATCTATGCATGGGTTGCAGCTAACTATGCTCTGGGTAGTTTAGGAGGTGAACCTAAGAAAACTACTGGGATATTTGAACTAGGAGGAGCTTCCATTCAGGTTTTTTTACCATTTCATAAGTTAGCTAAATCAACTCCTGCTGCAAGCTCTTTCTTCTTAGGATTTTTTGTGTTGATTGTAAAAATTTGGTTAATGGATAAAAGTTTTTTCAGACAACGAATAAGTTGTTCTGCCTGATATTTGTTCAAAAAGGTTAATCTCATTATAGATGTGTTTTGTACTCGACTTCAGTTAGTAATATGTAGTGCAATACTTGCATGACTCTCTGTCATTATGACTTATATTTCTTAGAGAAAGTTGTGGTAGTTTAGAAAAACATAAGCTAGGTATTGCAATTTGTTTATGTTTTGCTGGGTTGTGAAAATTGCTTTATTAGCTCACCTCCATTAAGGATAAGTTGCATTATATATGCAATTTAAGTAAATAATATTTTTGAGTTCTTTGATGTCCTAATCCCTGGTTTAAGGCACTGGTTCTTTAGTTTGGTTTCATGATTTCATTGAAGAATGTAAATATATACAAAATGTAAGCTGTGCAACTTAAATGGATTTAAAAAACTCTAACATCTTAAATTTGTTTTTTTTTATTTAAAAAATGATAACGACAACTACAACAGTAATAGGACACTCTTTTAGGAAGCTAAGTTTATTTTCTTAACAGCTATTTTGCTGAATTTGTTCTTCTTTCCTTGTTTTGGTTATTCTCCTCTTTCTGAATTTTCTTTTTCTTGACCTATCAGTGTGATTGGAATTGAAGATTCTAGGAAATTTAATGTGTAACTGAAACCATTTGACTCTGGTAGGTGACAATAACCCTAACATAGGTAAAAAAATTTCAACCATTGGTTAATTTTTTTTTTATAATACTGAATCTCCATTTAGTTAAATCCTGTTGCGTTAATAAGAACTAAGGTACTCAGTTGAAGTCAACTAAAGTAATCCAAGATATAGGAAAATTAGGCATGACACCCTCAGGGTTAGAGGAATGGCATTTGACATTTTATGTGGAAAATGACAGATAATTTCAATTTTGATTTGGTTCTTGTTACAGACAGATTACATGTTTGTTCCACAAAAAGGAGATTATAAGTGGAAGCCTGTGGTTCAATTGGGCTCCTCAGCTTATAGCCTCCTTTATGTGTGATGGTATGTCAAGAGTTGTCTTTTCCCCTTTTTGAGTTCTTAGTCTAGGATTACCCTGACTAGAGTTAAATAAAGCTCCTATTGTACTGGAAATCAATAATAGGAGTTCAATCACCTGTTGGTTCTTTCCGGCACCATTTTCTACACCAAATGCTTGTCTTCACTGAAATAGGAAGGGCCTCTTTATAAGTCTTCATGTTGTCCTACTTTAGCTGATTTCTTTTTTGGGCCATGATGGGGCTGGTGCAGGTGCTCTCGGATATCAGTGGCTAGTACATAATTTAGGTGGGAGTAGCACCGATTGGTCTTGTCCCTTATGGGGTCAACAATTTTCTTTTGTTATGAACTTGAGAGTTTCTTGTTGAAGTTTAGTTGTAATCTTATTCCTGAGCCATTGGGGTTGACAGTTGACATAGAAGCCTCTTTTCTTCTCTGAATTGCCATGAGTTGTCATAGTTTCTGTATTTTTGATGTGATAAGGCCAACCAAGCAGGATGCTTGGCTAGCCAAGCCACAGGCCTAATTGGCCCAATGCATGTGGCCAAGTGCCTTGTTGCTGTCTACTGTCATGGGTGGCAAGGGGAGAGAGCTTGCCACATTAGTCCATCTCACATAAACAGCTAGTGTAAATCTCTTGTGGTTTGTATGATAGTGAAGACTGGCTTTGGTTAGGGTTTGACTAGGAAGCTCAGTCAACTTCTATTTGGAATTAAACTAGGACTAACTTGAACAATCCTATTAGTCCTAATCTCGGTTAAAGATGTCTAAGAAGACTGACAATCTTCTTGAGAAGCTGAGTGATAGAGGGAGAGATTGATTGTGGTTTTCACTCCAATCCATTTGGATCTGATGGATGAATGTGCTACAATTTACTTCTGTTATAAAGCAATGGTTGCTAGCTCTACCCAAACATTGTCACTGATAAAGTTGGGGCACGAGGCAAATTGATTGCTGTATCTCTGTAAATTTTATGCAGTCTTAAGGTGCAATGTTACAAACACTAAGACAGCTGCAGGTGGCCATGCTATATATGGCCTGCCCGTCAAACTTGGTTGTGGTGCTTAATTTGTAGATGGAATTATCAACACCGGTAAATTTTAAATTTTGTAACAAACAGATTCTTTATCGTCGACTTAAAAGTCAAAAATTTGATAATGCTGATGATTATGCCCTTAAAGTTCCCAAGATCTTGCTTATAATAGGTTGGTCTTCTTATCTATGTGCAGAAAGGTGGGTGGGAAGGGGACACGTTTAGGATAGCTATGCCATATTTCCATACACCCAATTACAGTAACACCCCATGACACAAGTATGGTAAATTCTGGCCTTTTCCTGTACTGGATCTGTTACGATTGCAACACCAGTCCTAGAATGGTCTCTAAAAAGGTCAAGGCCAGTCAATGGTAGTCCCTTTAGATTGGCCTGCATCCTAAACATATTGCTTCACTAGCCTGCACAACAAAACAATTGAGCAGATGGCCACACCAAATATCAGCAATATTGCACCATTGATGCTGTTGGTAGATCATCAAACTTACATCAGACTTTTGCATTGGAAAATGCAATTTTTTTCCAGGTTCAGTTAATTATTCAGAGCTAAGCAATCTTAAGCATAAGGACACAGCTAACAAGATCAAGGTGCCATTTCAAGCATTCCATCTTGAGGAGCGAATTTTGCAATTGTGCAAATTCCTGAGTTGGAAGATTCTACAATCTGGAAATTCCAAGATGAGCAATTCTTCTACATTTTTGTTAAGGATGGAATTCGACAATTTACGGGAGAACGCTAGGATCCTTGATTGGAGGCTAAACTCATAATAAAGTTTTCGTTTTAATATGAATATGACCACTAAATTATTGAAAGTATTTGATAGAGGGGCCCAGTTACCATTTTTAATAATCACTTTAATGATTATGTTGCCTGAAACAACAGATGTAGGATGATGATAGTTGCTTCATTTCAGGAAATTTTAGTAAATAGCTAGATGCTAGTACAAGCAAATTATGCTATGTGGTTGAGCTTTGATCAAAATTTTAAACTTTTGTAATTAATATTTTCTTGTATTTCAGAATGAAAATTATTCTGTAGTGCATAATTGACCTTCATTCAATGTTCCAAAATTTTGTAATTATGATCACCATTTATGTTACTTTGTCTTGATTCTCAATTTCAGGCAACCTTTGTTTCAAGTGAACCTTTGGCCCCAGAGCTCTCACATGTCCTTCAGTTTGGAAAAATTACATATAACCTTTACAGCAATAGCTTCCTGTATCTCGGTCAGGTGAATTTCCTGCCATAATAAGCTTGATCATTTCTACTTATTAAATATGTATGTCTCCCATAACTTGAGAAGTTATTACCCTAGATTCTTGTGTGCACAAATATGCACTTAATGGCCTAAATCTATACATTGAATATGTTACTCTATTGACCAGTTGCACTAAACTTTGTCAGGACAGTTCCATACAAGTCATGACTTGAATAGTCAATAGAGATCATAAGGCATTTGCTATTTCAGATGTTTGTTATTTGATTTACACAGGAGAGTTTATAAAATCAAATTGTGTTCCAAATTTAATTGAGTAGATAAAAGTATTAAGATTTGTTGTGATAGATTCTGAATAACAAATGTGGAAATATATCATGAAAAGTTAAATAGGTTATTTGCATATTTTCAGAATAAGGTGCATCAATCAATCTGGCATTTTGTGGTACCATTGGTCAGTTTGGGATAATATGGTGCCATTGACTAGTTTAACCATGCTACAAGAGAAAAGCTAAAAGATACCATAGAACTCATCAGCATTATTTGAAAAGGTTGATCCTCATAGATGCTATAACATTAAAAAGAAAACTTTGTATTACCAAGTTCTTTTCCTTTCAAAACATTGTAAATGACAGAGAGTATAGCCATTTGGATGTTGCTAATCAATAATTCTGAATAACAAAAAAAATGTCAGTTCCATGTTATCCAAAAGAGATCTGGGTGCTATTTGAGTTCACATAATCACATTATAATTTTCTTTAGTAAGAATGGCACTGTTCTGAGATTCATCAATATTCATGTACCTGTAGAGACTCATCTAAATTTTTTATTTACATTGCTGAATGAAACCAGTCTTGTGCTTCCACTTTTGCTGCTTATTCCATAAGGCATTATATATATGTTGGATGGGTTAAATATGTACAGCAATATAGGTTCATTGAAATCTTGTATATAGGGAGCTAACTGATGTCATCCTGCAGAATGTGGCTTATGACTCACTTCATAACTTGCTTAGCTCAGGAGACCTTAGATCATGTAAGTTGTTAGTTTTTTTACTCTTCTTTCTGATTACTACTAAGTTTTGTTTGTTGAGTTTCTACATGGGAAAATGCAGATTTTTCCTATTGCTATGATAACAACATAGCTTCCTTACCAAATTGGTTTGCATAAGCTTAAAAGATCTTTTTGATGCTTTGTAAAAGATAGGTCTCTAGATAGAGGGTTAGTAGTGTTGGAGTTTGCAATTTCTATATTGGGATTCATTTCCTACTTATGCTGGTCCTTTTTGTTATTTAACATTTGGAGATAATATGATACCTTAGATATCATAAAATATGTGTGGTTGTTACTTGTTTAGTTCCAATGAGTGGCTGAACTTTTGAAGCAATTTATGCATATTTCAGATTCTTGCTACCTGGTGTTCCTGAAATGAGCCTTAGCTTTTGTAGGAATGAACAGGGCCTTGTTCTAGTGGTTGTTTGCCCTCTTCATCTTGAGGAGTTCTAGGTAAAGAATTGTCATGGAAGTGATGCCAGGTATTTGACTCCTTAAGGTCCATGACAACAAAGTTCGGAATTTTGAGGATGATTGGACTTCTATGTAAAAGTTATGGCAAGTTCAATGCATTTTCGTTTCTGAGGTTTAAATTGATCTTGATATCCTTCAATGTTCAGCAGTGCATTATGTACATAAGAGTGATTCATCATGTTTGTTATGCCCTCAATCTAATCCAAGTAGTGTTACAAATGAAAAGGCATGTAGCATAGATAATAATCAATAATCCAACCTGTCACTGCATTTTCTGGCAGATGTAGAGTTCAGGTTAGATCAATTTTAAGGTTTATGGTTCTAAAGCCATGTGTCTCTATGAGTATATTAGGAATGGTAAATAGTAATATTTGGACACTTGTTTCCTGAATGCAGCTGCAGCTTTTATCCAGGAAGAAACCTATATAGATCCTTGTATTCCCAGAGGATATATGCATGGTGGGGGACCAGGAAAGCTTTCTACCAGTCTCCTCAATTCAAAGACCACATATAGGTCTTCTCGTGCAATTGGTAACTTCTCCGAATGTAGACTAGCTGCATTGAAGCTTCTAGAGAAGGAAAAAGGTAACTAGTTGTTTTTTTGCTACTGCTGAAGACCACATTTTATCATCTTACAAGGTTTCTTTTTTCTATTTTTTCACCTTCTTAAATGTAGCCATGTTAAGTTAGTTATATAATTTTTTTGTCCTAAGCTACTAAGATATGAGATTACCACTTCAGTTTGCCATAACTCCAACGGCAGTCATCAGAGAAACAACCTTAAATTTGTACCATGATCTTTTGATTTATGGAGGTCAAATTAATGGTGTTCTGTCATGTGCCTTTGCTGACAGCCTCACAATTGTGAACTCTCTGATACAATTTTTCAACTCATTTGAAATAAAGCCACTGCAAGTTTTTCTAGAAGAAGATTAAATTTTATGGGCACAATTACCTTTATGTGGAAAATGGGTGGTTATCTGCAGTATCCATCATTATGATCAGAATAGCAACGGACTCTCTACTTATTTGGACATCTTAAGATTTGTCAGTCCATTTTAAAATGTATATCTTGCCTTATGGACCACACATGATGATGTCAAAGGTTTTATTCTGGCCTCTTTATCTCCTCATCTAATTTCTTTCCCGTATAGTTTTGAAAGAGAGACTAAGCTAGGTTCAGTTCAGAATGCCATATTAAGTAATGATATATAAGTAATCACATATTATTGATTTCTTTTTGGGAAGAAATCCTTATGTATAGAATGAATTTAGTGGCTATTCTTGTAAAAGAAATTTTTTATTTTTTTGATATCTGCAGAAAAATGCTTATCCCAGATCTGCCATTTTCGGCTGACATCTATGCCCAAGTTGCAAGGGAGATTTTTGGCAACTGAGAATTTCTTTCATACTTCAAAGGTTAGTTAATTTTGTTTTCTGGTCACATATTGTTTTCGATAGACAAATCTAGGATTTGCCAGCAACAACTTATGCCGCAATGCCTTCAACCAACAGCATGAGATAACGCTGGATATGACTGCAAAACTTGTTTTAAAACTATAGAACATGATGGAAAGGAAAATAAGATTCTTGTAGAATCTGCCCAATGGTAAGCTCAAATAGGCTGCATATGTATCCTTTCTGCGTGCACATGTGCTGATATGCATTTGCTCTTTGGAGCTTAGCAGTGATTAGTTTGGGATCTTACAGCAAGTTTTAGTGAGAAAATTGCTCTTTATGGTGTTTTTCCATGGCCAAGCTTGTTTATGACTCATCATTTGTCTCTTTCTTCTACTTGATAGTTCTTGGGCTTGGGACCAACACCATTACTATCTGATTTGATAATGGCTGGGGAACAATTTTGCGGTGAAGATTGGCTGAGACTCAAAAGGAAATATGATACTTATGACGAGGAAGATCTCTTGAGGTTTTGCTTTTCTACAGCATATATTGTGGCTCTACTACATGACACTTTAGGATTTCCTATGGATGATGGAAGGTATATGAGCTATGCCCATTGCATATCTGCGAGTAATTTATATTTTGTTCTTTTTCCAATTCAGATTAGAACATGAAGATAGTAAGATTATATTTTACTTGTTGAAGTTACTTTACTTTAATTTGGTTTTTTTAGCTTCTAAATTGTTAGCTGAACTTGCATATATGCAAAAAAAGAAAAACTTATTTTAGCAGTACATAGTTCTAGCTCTTGTTTTATATATGCTAAAATCTCATGAGGTTATGTTCCAGGCAGTATCTACCATGAGCTTAATATTCTAAACTGAAAAGGTATCATCATCAACCAACAAGAAAAATAACAAGCTGTAACGTCTTGCGGTTCACTATATAAATGTTTTTTGTTCATTTTTCTATATAAGACAATATGGCTATAATTAATTACTTAACTACCCAATACCCTAATCGATAGAGCATATATCTTACAACTACCTTATATATGTGTTCTTAACAAACACAAGAATCACATAAAAATTCGAAGTTCTTTTGTACTTTACTACTTAGCTTTTTTCTTTATGATAATGTCTTTGTCAATTTCTTCTTTTTGTTGTATAATAGATCGAATTTACCTAAAACCCATATTTGTATAATATATCAAATTTTTATAATATATCTTACAATTACTTTATATATGTGCTCTTAACAAACACAAGAATCACATAATTTAAAGTTCTTTTTGTACTTTACCACTTAACTTTTTTCTTTATGATACTATCTTTGTCAATTTCTTCTTTTTGTTGTATAATAGATCAAATTTACCTAAAAACCCATATTTGTATAATATATCAAATTTGTATAATATATCTTACAATTACCTTATTAACAAACACAAGAATCACATAAAAATTCAAAGTTCTTTTTGTACTTTTACCACTTAACTTTTTTCTTTATGATGATATCTTTGTCAATTTCTTTTTTTTGTTGTATAATAGATCAAATTTACCTAAAACCTTTACTTACATGAAATTGTTCATCCATCTTGAATAAACTTCAATTCTTCTCTTAGTATTATTAAAACTTTGTTACTTGTAATTGTTGTTACTCCTTACTCTAAAACCTTTAATTTCTAAAATTTTACAGAAGTTTCGAGTAAATGCTATCTATCTATCATTGACTAAGATAATATCATGAGCAAACAACATATGTCATGAGATTTATCCACCAAATTTAAAAGTCTAGGACTATTATCATCCACTGAAAGCCCTATAGACTTTCCATATTAAAAGGGACTTAAAGTAGATATTCAATTCAAGGTTGAGTGTGCTTAAACATGGATGATGACACCCGAGAATCTTTGCAGATTCCACCTTGAAGTTGATACAATATCTTATTTAGGTTTACTTTAGCTGTATATAATAAGGAGACATAACCCACATATTGTCTATGCTGCAGGGTTGTTTTCGCAAACCAGGTTGGTAACATACCACTTGACTGGGCATTGGGTGCTTTCATAACGCAAAAAGCATTAAGAGCAAGTGCAGAGAGCTCTGATTGGATCTTTGCTGTATTAGGCGATGACCCATCGGCGTTCTTCTATCTATTCGTCTCCATTATGCTAATTTTTACAGCATGGTCTGTGTTGAAATGGATGAAACCAAAGCTGAAGATTATATACGACCTGGAGAGAGGCCGTTACATCCTAACTCCTGTCAACCGATGATCCTGCTTGACTTCTGGATGTATGTCCCTGAAGAAGAGGTAGATAGCTTCACACTGTACCGAATAATGAGTGATTATTGTATCATCCTAACTCCTGTCAACCGATGATCCTGCTTGACTTCTGGATGTGTGTCCCTGAAAAGAGGTAGATAGCTTCACACTTTACCGAATAATGATTGATTATTGTATTTGGGGATTACCCTCCTAGCGAATTGACATATCGTAGCCAGGGATTCACAGGTCCCTCTGTATTTATTAGATAAAGTTGTAATGTCCATTGTATTTCTTAGTATAGAATATAAAGTCATTTGCATTCAGATTGCACTCCCATGGTCGTGCCAGTTCGGCGATGTCCGACATTAGCCGACACAGGCTCCTCTCATGCAGCTGTGTGAAACGAGATTTAACGGTGTGTTATTAAATCTGCAGCCCTATCTTTCCAAGTCGAGTTTCTCGATGCATTCTAATTGCAGTCGTCCATTTCTCACCATTGCTGTCGGTCGATGGTCTCGCCATTACATTCTACCAAGCATGGCCATAAATCTAGTACACCGTACCTGAAGTAAGCATCCGTACAGAAGCAAGCAAGCGTTGCACCTGCTCCGCAGCGTATTCACATTCAAAGTTCTTACAGAACAGGTTCTCTACAAAACAGGAAAAAGTAACACTCACAAAGGACCCCCGCAACAGTCTCCGCACGATCATTCCTCGCCCATCACCACGTTCTGCTCCTCGTACTTCACGGCAACCACGAATCGCATGCACACCTGCACGTCACCGCACGAGATTTGAGCAAACCCCGTCGAGATCTTACGCTGCTCGGCAACTAAAGCCGAAGTAGACAAACATCATCACCTGTTTCGGATCGTAAACAGCGTACTCGTTATACTCGAGCGGCCTATCGGCGTGCTCGGACGCAACTAAACGTCCGCAAGGCACCTTCACGTCGTCCACCCACTTGAAGTGCTGCGACTCATCGGGCTTCTTTCTGCCGAGTCCTTTCACGCTTACCTCCTCCTCCTCCAGTTCCTTCGTGTCCTGCTATCCACAGACGAATCAGTTCATTATGCGGATAGCTTGCAGCAGAAACCCAAGAAAGACTCTTGTTACATCTGGTGCAGTAGACATCTCAGTTATCTGCTCTCCCAGGGAAACCACGGCCAAGAGCAAGAACCCATCTGGCCTGTCAACTGCGGTGAATCCGTATCTAGCGGCCTCAGCCGATGCATCTGAGCAAACAATCGCTTTTCCAAACTGAGAAATTAAAGAACAAGAATATGATACCGATCCCACCATTTGCCGATCATGAAGTCGTAGACTCCGCTTACCATGTATCCAGGCGCTGGTATCTGACATACTGATGGGAGCAGTCCTTTCTGTAAATGCCTGATCAAATTAGAACTCCTCGTTCCTGCGATCGTAAATGGAAAACGATTAATCTCGTCGATTGCTCCCTTTCCGTAATCAGACGTAGATCGGACTGCAACATACCACACCACAACAAGATCTTGTTTGGCAGCTTCTTCACTTCCTCGTACGAAGGACCAGCGCCCGATTCGACGGCAAATATGTTCTCCACCGAGACACCGTACGTCTGTAAGAAAGATTGAATCTTCAGCGTGAGATCCTCGACGAAAGCTTTCGAGAAATCACAAGAGTTGCTAACCACGTCTCCAACTTTGATGGGCTCGTATGTGGTCTCGAGGTACTTGAGGATCATCTTGTGGTCGTCTGATTCCTTGTCCAGGGGTGCCACAGAGCAGCCGAGTCTGCCGTAGCGATCGGAAAGTGGGTCGTCGACGGTCGCACCAGACATGTCGCCGACGAGGCGGGACGCAACGTTGATGTCCCTTATGCACTCCAGTCCTGCAGCCACCTGCAAGTTTCAGCAGCCAAGCCGTGTTAATCGATGTCGCTCGTCCACAGCGTTCCCCGAGACAACACAGGCGTTCGTGTTCATTTACGTGATCCGCGAGTTCCTGGAAATTCTTCATGATGAACGGCCGGACGGAGTGCATGAACGTGAACCACTTGTTGGTGAAGTCCAGCCACAGGACATTGGCCTTGTCGCTCGAATCAGGTGCTTTCTTGATGTCCTCTCTGAAATTGAGCAGCTCCTCCTCACCTGAGAGCAATAGATTCATGATCGGATGATCGGATCTTGTAGAAGCAGTAGACATAAAAGAGTCGGATGGCTAACTCACATCTTTCTAGATGCAGATCGGTGACCATTCCCATGGGTAGGTCTGGACAATCATATCCCATTTCCATCATTGCATATCTATTCAATACATGCTTGTGAGCGGGAAGGCAGAGATTTTGATGCATGGAGTTCGTATTCTGTTCTACAGAATCCAGCAGCATGACCTACCTGTAGATCTCCTGGCTGCACAAGACCTTCATAAACTTCGCCACCAGTGGCTCCAGCTTACAGTGAGCAGCTGCAACACCCAGCTGCCGAGCACTCAATCCCCCGTGTCTCACATCAATACCATCGTCCTGCAACACGAATGATCTTGACTTGCATATATTTGCGGAAATAATTTGATTTGGACACCAACAAATCGTCGCAAAAAGAAGCTCAAATATTAACCACACCATGTCGATAGGATAGAACTTGAGAGACATTTTCTGGAACTTCTTCTCCCTCTCCCATGTCTCAAACTCGTTCCCTGTGACCTCTTTGAAGAGGCGAACAAACTCTTTCAGCGCATCATCCACGTTGTTCCACTCCTCGACCCTCTCATCTGCCTTGGGGTCGTCTCCTACTCGGCCCTTCTTATAGTACAGATGCACGTTTTTCTCAGGAACCTGAATCAGCTGCAAGACGCAATATCTGCAAGAAGATGCATGGACAGAGAATATCATATGATCCGAAACACACGAGCTTCCAGTAAATCATGTGCAAGGTCGAGATATACTCGTTGATTCCCCTCCCCAGATCACAAAGGGAGAACGCACAGTTGTATAAGATTCCATCCTTCTCAAATATGAACCCTCCTTGCTCCTGCAACATGCTATCCTTGTAGACACACCTCTTTCCAGACAGCTTGAGCTGCCAAAACCAGTTGGAATTCCACTTGGCGGTGAGATCATTTTCTCAGTCCAAACGAAGAAGAAACAAGAACAGCTTACTTCAGCCGTCAAAGATTCGAGAGCTTCTTCGTTCGGGTCCATTTTGTCCCATGGAATTCCCCTTCCCTCGGGGATAAGATCAGAGACGACATCGTAGGCATCGAGGGGCTGCGCCTGCTGCTTCTGGATGCTATCTACCAACCAGTTTTCACTCACCACAGGAATGTTCCTTTCCCTGTTTTGATGTTCCACCACGAAACAGAGTAAAAGATAATAATACATCTAAAGTGGAAGTTTTTACTTCAAAGTAAACAATAGAATCAAGTCGACTAGTGTGATTCGTCGATGAGTATACATTGCCTCCGCCACTCTGGATGAACCTCCTCTTTCACGTTCCGCAGGGGACACAACCAAGCAATTGGCACCTGTCAAGGCAAGACTTCCAAGTTCACAACCATTTTTTTGCAGAGGAGAGAAGGAAGAAGTCCCTACATACCAATAATGTTATTAGAGACCTTTCCGCCATGCTTCTCAATTTCCTCCCTCCATGTTTGCTACACCAGTCAATTCAGAAGTTGGTCGCCGGGGAGCAGAATGTAGGATACGTAGGAACTCAAAGATAGAGAGAAAAAGAGACGTTACATGTGTTCGAGACAGACGACCGGAGAGGGAGATCACCAATCCAGCAAAAGGCTTATTCGACGAAGTCAACTCCCGGCGAGGGTAGCTTCTCGATTCTTGTTTCTTGATCCACTGCGATCAGACGAACCCAACAGGTCATGTTTCTCGTGCGTACAAGTGGGAAGAGGAGAATGATGCGAGTAAAGAGACTATATCACCTCCTCAACCGTCTCATCTCCAATCCCCTCGGGGATCCTCACCGGCTGATCTCTCCTCCGCGCGTCGGTGGTGGTGTATATACAGGTGCTCCATTCGCTGTAAGCCCCTCTGCATAGGTAGTTGCTCCCGCTGCAATCCACCTGGTTACGGCAGACCGGGCATTTCTCCAAGGGCCCATAGAACATCATATCTTGGCTGTGGCAGAACGACGGAAGCAGAAGGGTTAGAATGAATACATAGCTCAAGACATCAGAATGCTCGAGTAGTACTAGGATGCAGAACTACCATCGAGGGACGACTGCATCATCAGAACCAGAAGGGTCTTGCTCGTTAGCTTCCAGTATCCTGCGCATCTCGTTTATCGACAGATGCTGCCTCGTAGCCTTGCAGAACTCCTCAAACTCGACAGCAACGTCTACTGCAGGTTTGCCGTTTGCATCTCGATTCTCCCCCTCGACCTTCGCCTTCTTATTTTTAGATGCCTGCTGCTGTTCACCATCTCGCCCTCCGTTCTCCGCCTTCTGTTTCCCTTTCCCGATATTGCCTTCTTCCTCGGCGGAACTGCGTGTATGGGACCTTGTCTCATGAACCTGTGCATGAGTCCTCGATTAACATCCATTGTATTATTCCAGTTGTACACGTCAGTGGAAAAGTAACTGCGACATGGTTAGGGAAACAAGAAGAGAAGCTGCTGTTCATATATTTTCGGTCATTAATCGCATTCGCCACTGAGTAGCTGCTGTAGAAATTGAATTATAGTACCAGTTCATGGCTTCCCAATACAAAACACGTTAGGTGCACTCTCCTGAAAACGAAACAAAGAGAAACCTCGACAAAGTCCATTCTCGATCCACCATCACAAAACAGATACAAGGAGAAACGACACACCTTCATGTTGTCTCCGGCAAACACCACTCCAAAATTACCCTCTTCGAAACAACGCTTGGCAAGCGGCAACGTTATCCGGGGCTATAAATAAGAACATCCTCGTCCGAGACACCTGTTATGGCGTTCGTGTCTGTCCCCGTCCCGGACGAACAAGTGTATCGCTTGCGGCCATATCCTGACACGGGGCCGCTGAGTGTTCCACGGACGGTCGCCAGCGGTCACGGGCGCCCGACACGGTAGATGGTCAGGATTTACCGCCTCGGAGTAAAGAGACGGACGATGAGCGGTGCACAATTCGCAGGGGATAGATAGTGTTGGAGATATCCATCAGAATGATCTTAAACCTTTTGCCTTGTCCTCTCATCATCATAATCCCTCTACATACCAACCAATTACCGCCCTCATATCCAATCCTTTTGAGGCCTTGGGCCATGAGGAAGAGCCGCATGCACCCCGCCCAAGGCACCGCTCGACAAGGGCAGTTCAGCTGGCGATCCTTTCGGGGCTTTTGGTTGATAGCGTCACCGAGGCATTCAGGAGAGCAGCGGATAGCATGGCAGAGAACGACAGTGGCTTTCTCCACGAAGACGAAGATCCAAAATGGTACAGGATCACGCTTAAGCAGGGTCCCAAATATCGCAAACCACGAGTGCAGGAAAGTCCCTACCTACCTCTCCTCAATCTCAAACGACGAACTAAGAAATCCAAAATTGATCTTAACCTAGCCTCGTCGGCTGACACCCTGATACCGGATCTGCTATTACATCCTCCGCACAGTGTTCCGTTCTCTGTTTGCGTTACTGCTTTCTTCGTGTTCCACTCCTTGATCGAGCAACTTTTACTGGAGAATTTTATGTAGTAATATGGTGGATACTACAAGAGAACACAATAAGAAACTTAGACATAATCCTCCGCATGACCGTCTGCTTGCTTACGAGTACAACACTAATTGCTCGCGCCCGCACCACCGGTCGCCATTCCCCTCTCTCCCCTCTCCTTTTAGCATCATTCCCGACCACTGTGCATGATGGTGTAAACAACTTTAAGCCGTGGCCTCGGGGCCGACGTGGCTTGGTTCGAGTAAGGGTGATGGAGAATTTTCCTAGGACGACCGTTGAGACTGCTGAGATGGTCGACTGCGATGGTCCGACCGGGATTGGGTCACCGTTTCCTTTGGGAGGGAACTCCTCGCCTGGACACAGGTCGAATCGGGAGAGCTCAGCCCGACCCCTCCGACGATCAAGTTAGTGAATAGTCGCAGGGGATTTTTTTGTTGTCTCCTCCTCCTCTTTTTCTCTTCCCCTCTTTCCTCAGAGCGTGAGGGTTTTTATAGTGAAGATTATCGTTGCCTGATGTGCTCGCTTGCAGGGAGCAGGATCGTACTCCTGATGACGTCTGACATCGATGTTGGCGTGGTGTGAAGGACCGAGCCTAAGCAGGATATTAATGTGCCTCGGTCGGCGTTCCGATTCGTATTGACTAGGTGATGTCAGGTTAACAAAGGTGCGAGGCGTCATCTGGGGCAACTGACGTCAGCCCGAGTCTTATCGCCATTAGTACCCTCATCATATTCCCCCCTGAAGGAAGTTATGCATCGGTTGTTGTAAAAGGGGGGTCCGAGGCATGGCTTCAGCTTTAAGAAACTATCCCTGTCGGGCGATTGCCGGTTCGTTGCCAGGGGTGTGGGAATCGTGGAGTTTATTAACTAAGGAGGGTAGGGTGTGCAACGGAGGTCCTAGGTAGTATGCGGCCGAGGAGCACGACTCAGGCGGGCAGGCCGCGCAGAGGTTGTGGTCTCGGGCAACATGCAGCCGAGGAGCACAACTCAAGCGGGCTGGCCGCGCAGAGGTTGTGGTCTCGGGCAACATGCAGTCGAGGAGCACGACTCAGGTGGGCAGGCCGCGCAGAGGTGGTCATGCAGTCGAGGAGCACGGCTCAGGTGGGCAGGCCGCGCAGGCGTGTCTCGGGCAACACGTAGCCGAGGAGCACGGCTTAGGCGGGCAGGCCGCGCAGGCGTGGTCATGCAGCCGAGGAGCACGACTCAGGCGGGCAGGCCGCACAAGCGTGGTCTCGGGCAACATGCGGCCAAGGAGCAAAACTCAGGCGGGCAGGCCGCGCAGAGGTGGTCATGCGGCCGAGGAGCATGACTCAGGCGGGCAGGTCGCACAGGCGTGGTCTCGAGCAACATGCGGTCGAGGAGCAAGACTTAGGCAGGCAGGCAGTTCGGTGAGGAAGGTCATGTGCTCTCGGTCCTCGGGCGCCCTCCTCTTCTATGAAGCCCGCAGCTAAAAGTCGCCCCGCCTCCTCAAGGCCATCTGGGCCTCCACCGCGATGAACTGGTTCGCCCGTTGAAGCATCTCAGGTTCCGCGGTGGGGGGTCGCTCCACGAGGGACCAGAAGAATCTGGAAGGTCGCAGGCCTATCATAAACACCTGCATTAACAGAGAGGGATAAGCGTTCGGTAATCCTCGGATTTGTATTGCAAAACGATTCACAAAATGGGAGAGGGGCTCGTCCTCCCTCTGGTTGAGTCCGAGGAGTAGTGCAACGGAAGGTTTTGGCCGGGCGTAGGCCAGGAAATTAAGCTCAAAGTTCTTGACAAGCTGGTCAAAGGAGACGATCGTCTCGGTCTTCAGGCCGCTATACCACGTGCGGGCTGGCCCTCTCAGAGTGGTGGGAAACGCCTTGCATATCAAAGCATCAGAAGTTTCATACAGCGCCATCTGGGCAAGGAAAGTGGCTACATGGTCCGTTGGGTCGGTGGAGCCGTCGTATGTGTCCAGGGAGGGGAGTCGGAAGTTCGGGGGGACTGTCTGATCCTGTATCTCGGGTGCGAATGGAGATCCCTGGTGTGCGTCCTCCCCGAGCTCTCCCCTCGACCTGCGAACCTCCTTTTGCACCTCGTCGAGCCGTTGACTAAAAAAGCGTAACTGAGCTCGCAGGGAATCCATGGAATCCAAGGATAATGCCTCGGGTTCCGGGCGGCCTCTCGGGTTTGCCGTCACTCGTTCCCCGAGCGGGGTCGATCGGTCCCGAGGGGAAGTCGGAAGCTCCTGAGGTGGGGTACGAGCCCGAACGGGCAGCTCCTGTTGCCGCAGCGGTTGGATCGCAGGCGGGTGCAGTGGACGAGAAACGAGTGGGATAATGGACTGCACCATACCGGTCACAGTTCGGACTTGATGAGTGAGGTCCTGAAAGGCCTCGGACGACATGGGCGACGGGCCAACTAGGGCGTCGTCGGGCGGCGACAGGCTCGGGTCGTTAAATATCCGCCAATAGCGCTCTGAAGTCGTGGCGGGGGGTTTGTCTCGAGGTTCTCCATGCGGGGGTGTTCCCCCGGAGCTCCGATCGGGTGTGACCCCTCAGTTGCGAGCTCATCTGAATCAATTGGGCGATCCCCTGACATTCGGCCCTCCTTCTAGCACCAAAATGTTGGTGTAAACAACTTGAAGCCGTGGCCTCGGGGCCGACGCGGCTTGGTTCGGGTCAGGGTGATGGGGGATCTTCCTGGGACGACCCTTGAGACTGCTGAGGTGGCCGACTGCGATGGTCCGATCGGGATGGGGTCATCGTTTCCTCCAGGAGTGAACTCCTCGCCTGGGCGTTTAGTGGGAGGCCTCCATCTTCGCACTTGCACACAGGTCGGGTCGGGAGAGCTCGACTCGACCCTTCCAACGATCAAATTAGTGAATAGTCATATGAGGTTTTTTTGTTGTCTCCTCCTCTTCTTTTTCTCTTCTCCTCTTTCCTCGGAGCGTGAGGGTTTTTGTAGTGAAGGTTACCATTGCCTGATGTGCTCGCTTACAGGGAGCAGGATCGTACTTCTGATGACGTCTGACATCGATGTTGGCATGACATGAAAGACCGAACCTGAGCAGGATATTAATGTACCTCGATCGACGTTCCGATCGGGCAGCTAACATTAGCTCAAATCTTTATCACCATTATTACCCTCGTCTCATGGGAGGCATGGCGTTACCTTCTCCTCATCTTGCACGCTATAAGCGGTCCCCTCAAATCTTTCGCTACCCCCAGACTCTCCCGTCTTTTCTTGCAGCTGTACCAGTAGGTGGTACTCACACTGCTACTATTCTTATCTCCACGTATCAGATAAAGCTCCGCCATGTCCCCTCTTGTTAGGTGCTGTTCGTGCTATATGGAATCTTTATGCGCCTGCAGTGCCTTTAATGTTTGCAGCACTGTTGATTTAACGGCATCTTTATAGACTCTCTGCTCATGCTTCAATTTTTATGGTAGAAACTCGTCTTTCCGTGCTCTAAACTGGCATTACATATGTTTTCCTGCAGACGAGTCATGGAGAGGCTCAACACGTTGCTGTTTTGGCAGAACTGCTGCGTGATGAAGGAGACTCAGAGGCTGTGTAAGAAGGCACAGCTCTTGAACCAGCGGAACCATGCACTCCTGCCTCAATTGAAACAGAAGACCACACTGTTCATTTAGATCTGACTTAGAGTGGAAGGAAACAAGGAAAAAGATTAATTAATTATTGAAATTATTTTTTTTACTAAAATAGTAGGAGCTTTGTTTTAGGAAAAAAAAATCAAATTAGAGATATTTTGTGGGGAAGAAAAATAAAAAATAGATATTTTTTGCCTTCCAAGTTTCCTCCCAAAACTGTCCCCAAATGTCAGATTTATGAGAGTGCGATATGAATGGACTCTTAAGGTCAATTACTGTAAGATGGCCACCTGTATGGCAGCCTTGAATGCAGATTGGACTTGATTGACGGTGATGGCATCTCTATGCAATTTTCTAATTTTCAATACCCCACAATTAATTATTATATGTAAAAGGCATTGGGTGAGTATTTTTGGTACCGAATCTATTCCATTAGCTTGAACCGACCTGAGATACATCGGATTCGGATTCGAGTTCAGACACGTAAGGAGATTCAAATTTCGTGCAATCTGTGATCACCTATGATCGCCACCAACCCTGCTCGCGGCGGCGCGTCGTCATCATCAATTCGACCGACACCCCCGGGGCACGAGCGACCACGCGTGCGAGGGTCACCGTCCAGCGTCTGCCACGCGATCTCTCGTGGCTGGTATCGCTCCGCATAGGTGGGGGCTGCCAACTTGTCATGTTCAGTCATCCCTAAACGAGTTCTGAGCGGTGTGGCAGTCCCTCCGCGGAGGCCACATCAACCCGGGCCGATCTGGTAACATCCATCCTCGGCTCGAAGTGAAAAATCTGTATCATCAGCGCCAA